TCAAGAGAATTCACAAGTAAATACACAAAGCCTACGAGAAACCTGATCCCCTATCGGTAAGTTGATAGGATCGACAGGGTTCAAGCTACAAATAAAGATAATCCCATGAACACCCCGATGATGGCCGTGTTGAATGCAAATCTTAGCCGAAAGGGTTCCCAAATATTTTCAAATGTCTCCCAAATATTCAAATGTCTTCCAAACTCCACCCACAATGCCAAAATCCAACAAATTCCAAAGTCCAGATATTTAAAATCTGAAATAAATCCATCAATCACTCAAAGCAAAATCCATCCACCCTCCGCAACAGTCTGCCGGGGTGGACAAATTCAATTTTACTTCAGCTCACAAAGAGTCAAATGCCTAGTCGAAAATATCACTATGATCCATTCTCAAACCAATCTCCTGCCGGTTAGAGGACATCCTGCCAGTAAGGACGTGGTACGTGTCCTCTAACCGGCAGTTTCGCCGCCAAATGGCACTGCAGGTAAAGGGTTAGGACCCGGGGCCCTCTGAACCGAGTGGTTTTGCCGCCAAATGGCACCACGAAATACCGGTTATGGTCATAGCCAATACGCTCCTTATTGGCACCAAATCCTTGAGATATGAATCAATAGGATATGATTGATAGGGCACAAAGCCCTCTGTTAGCTAAGGTGGATTCAAATTTATCCCCTTAGGCAAATACCCATCCCAGGTCTACAAGGTCCCCTTGGACGAAGCAACCCATGGCTGCCGACAAGGATCCTTCTGTCAAGTTGGGTCGACTACCTCCTCTAACTAAGTAGACCAGGGACCACGATGGCCCGGGACGACGGAACCATGGGATCTTGATCGGGCCCAGCATCCATTCCCCCACCATTCGCTTTAAGTGTGAGATGGTGCAATTTCTATTTTAAATATCAAATTCCTAAACTTTCTAAATCAAATGCCTATTGCTGCTACTATATGTCAGATAACACGTATTTCTACTTATCTGATTGATGACTAGCCTTAATCTAAAGCTCTCTCTCGTTATCGGGAGGGGTAATTAACTATAGGGGCTTGCACCTATAGAAAACCAGAACTCAGATCATAAAGTCCTCACAAAATGAGGGCGAAATCTCTGGGTAGTGTCTTATCTATAATCAATCTACCTTCCAAAATTTACCTCGAAACTTAATTCGTTAAAACTTCCTCGCTCAAGCAAAAGCAAACAATCAATCGCGCAGCAGGGAGGCCGGGGCCGAATTTTCGGAGCCCACAGATCAAAATTGATTAATTTGATGGTCGGAACTTTAGTTCCTAAAGCTGCAGATAGAGGACTATTTGTATTAGAGAAAGCTCCATTAACCTTCTTCAAGCACTAAAGCAGGAGTCAATCAATCCGACGAGCGGGAATTGATGGATAGATAAGCTCTATGAGTCATTCGTGTATCCCACAACATGCATATCATCTTCTAAATCCTCAAAGAGATTACCACAACAAACATCATAAAGACGCTCTCCAATATTGATAAAAAGCTCTCCATAACCAATACAGTCATATAATGTGCAATGTTTTCAATCTTGAGGGGGAAGGAACTTAGGTTGTCAATCACATCTATGAGTTCAACTTAATTACAAAACTGATGAACTCTGTAATTATTAAGTTTAAAAATGAGATCCATAACTTAAACTTGCTCTCATTATTGTCCAAGACAAGAGATAATTGTAACACCTATCAATAGTTTTTTATGGATTAAACTTTGTGTAGCTCAATAATGTCATAGTTATTTTCATCAACAAGGATATTTGATTGCACGAGAAAGGTAAAGGAACGTCATCTTCTACTTTGACTGTCGATAATAAAAATATGAGACAAAATAAAAGCAATCATCAAGGCAAGATAGATGTAGAACATGAAACAAGAGCAGCTTTACACATTATAACACAAGTAAATTTTGGGGTCGCCCAAGTGAGAAGATTGTATTTTAGGGGGAAAAAAAAGATAGGTCAATTTCTCCAAGGCTAAGAGAGACAAAAGATCAAAAAATTGGAGCCAACACACAAATATATGCTTCCCTAGAAAAATCAATGTACTAATAACACAAGGAAGGTATAGTTCATTTTATCAAAAAAAAGGACATGTTCTCAACCTTTGTGAAGTGAAGAATAAATCCAAAGAAAATACAAACTATATAACAGAATCCAAAAATTACTATATGCTGATACAACTCATATGGAGAAAATGATCTTAAGAGTCTATAAGAAAATGAAGTAGCTGAAAGGATGGATATACCTATTAATGAATGAGCAATAAACATTAGACTGCATGCAGAACTTCAAAAGGCCTTCGGGAAAAACTAGTAAATATAATAGAATTTCTAATCAATCGATGATCATCAATTGCACTGAACTCCTCTTGAAAAAGTCTAAACAAGTAAGGAGGTATATTTGCCACATTTGAAAGTTCTTTGTTGTCGATTGTATGTTTATTTTGATCATATTGCTAGAGAAAAGTTAACAAAAATCAAAGAAGTGTTACTTATTGACTGTAGCAGAGATGAGTTTGACCACAGATTTTGATCAACAAAGATAAAAGAACAGAAATATAAATGTTATCTGCAATGAATCTATATTATATAACACTACTACAAAACACCTCCAATCCAAAGCATGTTAAACTAGAGAGAGATTTTCCAAGAACAAAAGATAAAAAAAAAAAAAAGTTGAAACTCAGGAGCAGCATGAGTCCAACACACCCAAGACCAAAATTAGAAGGTCATAAAGAACTCAAAAGCCATCAAACCGTCATTCTCCTCTTTACCACCAATTGCTTACAAATGCAAGTTAGTATATTGTTATAATGGAGTCATACATGTACAGAATTCAATAAAGTGAGAATTTATAATAAAAGAATGCATGGAATCTCTTTATAAGAAGAAAACTTAAATACTAACAAGTTGCCAAAAGATAATGAGTGTGAAATAAATGGATATACAAAGTACAGGAAGAACATACATAAACCAAAAAGTATAAGGCAAGGCTCGCAATAAAGGGTTTCCAGCACAAGAAAAGATAGACTTTATAAAAATGCTCCTCTTATGCCTAAACTAATGACTAGTCATCTAATGCTAAGCAATATAATAGAAGAAGATCTATATCTCTAACAAAATGGGATCTCAAGCTAGGTTTCTTACATAATCACCTAGAGGAAGACATCTACATAGTACAACTAAAAGGTTTTATTAAATTAGACCAAAAAATCCTTACGTGCAAGCTAAATAAAAGCTTTTATGGTTTGAAACAAGCAACTTGCCAATGGTACCAAAAATTTGATGGATTCATGCACAAAATCAAATTTGATATATGAAAAAACTAAATATTATTGCGATGCTAAAAGAACAGGAATTATTTTGTTATTGTATATAGATATTTGTTAATCACAATGATTGATATTCAAAAGATCAATAATATAATGAGAAAAATATCAAAAGAGTTTGGCATGAAAGATCTGAAAGAAATCAAAAAGATTCTTGAGATAAAAATAGATTGTAACAAGATCACAAGAACATTATGTTTTTTCATAATCATAGTAGTACTCGGTACATCTACATCTTGGGTTGGTTGTCACAACATTAGAAGATAAACACATTATCAACTATAGAGGTTGAGTACATAGTTTTTATTGAAGCCCGTAAGGAGATAATTTGTACCAAAAGCTCCCTAGAAGAACACAACAAGACACGAGAAGACATTGCACTCTTTTATAATAGCCAAAGCATCATTCATTTGACAAAGAATATCATCATTCACTCCTTTAATATAACACATATAAATCAAATACCACTATAGGTGTAGTTTGCTTCACTTTATTGCTTTACAGCTCTTCAAGATTAAGAGAGTGAAAAAATCCCACAGATATGCTAAAAAAATGATACAAACAAAAAAAAATTGATGCTTTGTGAAACCTCATTTAATCTCCATTAATGATTACTTGGGTGTGCCGCAAAAATAGTTAGTCTATTTGTTGGTCTCTCTCCCCATAAGTACCACATCGAAAATTTCTATCTCCTAGTGAGTGATTATTAAAATTTTGAAGTCAAATTTTTGTAAGACATGATTGAGATCTCATATTTCTAGTAAATATTTATTGAGATTTTCAAAAGAAAAGTTTTTTATAGGTTACAAAAGCTTTGTTAAATTCAATAGATCTTGAAAAATCTTGTACTTAACTGTATATCATCACACACATGCCCTGTTACCATTATAAATAAAATCTTAGAATGAGAGATTTGAATTCCCACAACTACAAGCAAATAGCAGGAAGAGGGGGAGAAAGGCTACCAACCAAGAGAGAAAGGACAAGATTTCCAAATTCTTGCAGGAAGGAGATAAGCTGTCGCTAATTTTGATTCCATCAAAAGAAAAAGCTTTCACCCATAGGAGGTACAAGTGCCATTAGGACTTCTGTAATAAAGAAGCAGGTAGAAAGTAATAGCAATAGCAACAAAATCTTCTTCTCTACATCCAACTCTCATCTTTGTAACATGTGATCTCAATCTCTCTTAGTCATTGACATAGATAAAGTGGTATATATGTATATCCTTTTCTTTAATTTTGTTAAGAGAATACTTGATGAACACTTCTTTTGAAGTTTAGTCAAATATTTGATATTATCATGGACATTAGTAAATCTCACTGAACCATGGAGACTTGTTTGTATTTTGCTTTTGATCTCTAGTGTGTTTTCTCTCTCGTATTTATTTGACTTTGCTTGAAAATTCATTACTATCCTAACAATTATTACAACATTGCATTTATGGATCTTTAGCTCTTCCTTTATCTCCACAAACTCATTCTCTTCCCACGAAATTTACTATTCTAGAACTTCAACCTCTTTCACCTACACCTAATCTAACTCATTTCCCGATGTACATTCTTATTTATCCAACTACCACTGCTCTCTAAAGATTATGTCAAAGAAAAAAAAAGGGATTAATACAATAAAAACTCAGAGTAAAATAATTAATACTCACAGAAGAAGCCAAATCATCTGCCTTCAAAGTCTTAGCTAGCCCAAAATCCCCTGAATACAACGATAAAATAATTAGGAAACAAAAGTTTAACATCTTTGATGCTGAGTTCTGCAAGAACTTACCTAGACGAACATCTTGATCCCTCGTGAGAAAAATATTAGAGCACTACAACAATATGCAGGAATTAGTGACCCAATCGGCAATAAAAAATGGGATGGGTAGCCACTGGATAATCCACTGAATCACAAACCTTGAGATCTCGATGTAGAACATGGTTGGAATGCAAATACTCAACAGCTAGTAATAGTTGAGCAAACCATTTTAGCAGTTTCTGCAAGAAATCAAATATAATCACCAGGGTATAAGCATTGCATGATAATCATTTAATGTCACTTGACAAGCTAGAGATAGTCATACCTCCTCTGGAAAATATGCCCCATTTGATTTCTTCATCAATTCAGCCCTGCCAAATGCCATAAATTGGATTTAGACAATAAACAAATCACCATCAAAGATAGTTAAAAAGGTGAAGAAGATGAAGAAATAGAATTTTCCCCAAATATCACTCACATATCTCCTCCTTCACAGTATCCCGTAACAATACAAACATAGCAACCCTGCAAGAAGTTTTTGTTTTTTATTTTTTAGATAGAAACCGCAAAACACAAGCAGCAACTTCACTAAAACAGAGATTCAAGACCTTCTCCACCCAAGCTTCTTTAAACTCGACAATGAATGGGTGTTGAAGTGGTGCAATGATAGCCATCTGCAATTAACATATAATAGAAGAAATGAGGTGAGTCTATTAGCAAGATCTTAACATCAAAAAGGTGATAATCATGCCTCTTGGTGAGCTGATCTCCGGCATCTCTCAGTCTGCCTAGCAAGCCGAATCTTCTTCAAAACGTACCTTCAATCCAGATCAACCAGTATAGTATCAATGGAAATAAAGTAAGGTAAATAACTTTAAAAGGGGAATGATAAACCTATTACTTCTTTTTCTCCTGCTTGTGATTAACAAGGATGGCTGCTCCAAAAGCACCTCGACCAATTTGTTCCATTATCTCATACTGATCCATCCGAGACTCCATGGATGAGCTCCAGAAAGAGAGATTCTCAAAATTGATTCGCTTGGATATGAAAAGTTTATAGAATTGAAGCTTCAACCCTATAATTCATTGAAACCATTCAAGCAATCCCTCTCAACCATCGATAAAAATGACTCCCTTCAAAAATATCCGCCAGGCCTCTTTAACTCATCTCGCAAGATCTCCCCTTCTTTATTTATTGAAATAGATGGATACTTTATTTCTCCCCTCAAAAACGGAGATCCATCCCCACTGACACAACACAACAATATATTTTCACTCTGACTGTCCTCCACATGTCAGTACGCCCACCTGATCGACCCCTTCCGCCGCTAATGACCTATAACAACTAAACTCTACCATCCTGGCATCAGTTCAACAAGTACGAAACCAATCCCTCAGCATCTCCGATCCCACATTGCTTTCGTCCAACCGCCACACTTTTCTAATATTTTCCGCTGCCACGACTAAAGGACTGAATCGCCGATCTCCGCGCAGAACCACCGTCTCCTACTCAACCGTAGCGGGCCCTATAAACTCTTCACCACCACTCTCCTAGATCCCCATAGGCCGGCTAAATCAGCCTGTCTTACCCCTTCCGATATTCATCTACCAGTCTCCCTCGCGCCGGAGCGAGGGAGCTTTCTCCTCGCCCACACCTCTTTTTCCTCCTTTTAAAACTCCTTCGAAAAAAAAAAAAACTCCTTCGAAGGGATTACGGGGATAAGGAACTCATTAAAGACTGCGACAGTCGAGCGACAGTTAATTGGGTTTACTAGCATTAAAATGGGCACCAAAGTCAGAGTACTAGCATTTTCATTTATGGCTAAGGCCTAGTTTGTTTCGACTTAATTAGGCCATCTCTTGTTTGCATCAGGAAAATAGTTGAAATATTACTGTTTGTTAACACTTATTTTATATAAGACATTTTTCTATAACTCCGTATTTTTACTAGTCTAAAAAAAGAAAAAATGCGGCTTACTCTGTCCAATACCTCAGTTTTTTTTTTATTATTATAAATTGCATTAAAACAAAAAAGAGCTAAGTACTTGTACTAAAGGGATCACATTCACCTTTAACAAACTAAGCAATGAAGATGAATGTTGCCAAAAGAAAGCTATAAAAAATAAAACTATTTTCTAAAGCAAGAGTAGCACATAGATCTGCTACTTTATTACACTTTCTATTAACATGATGAAAAATGATTTTATTGAAATCATTTAGAAATAATAGCTCTTTTTCCACCCAATTATCCACTTGCCACTTGACTTATTCAATGAATCTTTAATGAATTTAATGATGTTAAGATTATCACTTTCAATGATAACCCCTTTGCTCTCCGACATCCAATTTTGTATGAACTCCCTTGTTGCTATTACCGTCTCCATCTCCAACTATGCAACATCCCAATGAACTCTAGTCTTCCCGAATGCAAGGAGCAATCTTCCTTTATAGTCTATAAATATACCTCCAATTCTAGCATGATTCAAACTCAAGATAGAAGCATCAACATTAATTTTATCCAATCTAGAGGCGGAGGGTGCCAAGTTTCATGAGACTCCCTTGGGAGATTAACACCCGAGTTATCTAGAATTGGAATTGATTGGATCATGGATATAGACAATACATTTGCTGCAACCATCGAACAAGAAAGAGCAGACTTTCCATGCTTCACCTCGTTCTTGTTTTTCCAAGATAAAAAAAAACAGATGCACAATACATCTTAACTGAGCATTACTCCATGAATCTGTACAATCAACATTATAATTTTATGATGCAAAAAATCATTGAAATTTTGTCTCATTCCAGCTGCCATCCATATTTATAAAGTAACTGAGCATTACTCCATCCAATTCCCCACAATTAGCAAATGTTGGCCACAAGTTTAAGCATTTGCCAAGTAACCATATGTCTTTCAATACGTTGATTTTCCTTCCATTACACACTTTCCATTTGACAATGGGATTAAGATGTTTACCTCCATCTATAAGAATCTTCCATGTACTAGAAGCATTCTTCTTACATTCCTCATTCAAGATATTATCACTATATGTCAAAATAAGATTTCTATATATTAATGATTCAGGATTGTTGATAGCATTCCATGCCAACCTTGCTCTGAGTGGACCTGTTCTGTGGATTGCAGAATGAATTCCCAATCCCCCAACACTTCTCAGTTTGCAAATGTCCTCCCAAGCTACATTGTGTAGACCTCTTCTTCCATTTAGTTTGTGCCAAATGAAATCTCTACTAAACTTCTCCATCTCATCAGTAATTTCTTTAGAACCAAAGAATGTGTTATCAAATAGTTTGGCGATGATAACAAGGATGACATTACCAAGATTATTTTTCCCCCCATAGATAAAGTTTTACTTCCCCAAGAATTTAACTTATCCAAGATATGATTCAACAAATCTTGAAAATCAGCCATACCCAACCTTCTCATAATGATTTTAATTCCCAAGTAATTCATTTCCTTTACTACTTTGTACCCAAGTCTTCTAGCAAGTTTATGCTTAACGGAATGTTTAACAAACTTACCAAATATAATTTGAGATTTGTTGGTGTTAACCCATAGCCCAGTCCATCCACAAAAATACGCAATAATTGTCTTCATTAAGCCAGCTAAATGAAGTTTTTCTTGAGCAAAAAGTAGCACATCATCGGCATATAAAAGGAGTAATCTTCTCACTTCTTGGAGACACTTGAACACCCAAGTCATTTCCCCTTTGTTTAATTGCATTTGATAAGAGTTGAGAACACATGATAAACAAGTAAGGTGATAGTGGACACCCATGACGAAAACCACATTCAGCGTTTATCCATCTTGTGTTCCTTCCTTTCAATATAATAGAAAACCTTGCATTCATTAACATTTCATAATGAGATCAGAAAACTTAGATGGAAACCTATACCAAATAAGAATGTGTTGTAGTGTTGGTCATCCCATGTTATCGTAAGCCTGCTCCATATCCAATTTAATTTCCATCAAGCCATTTTTGTTTTTGGATATTCTAAATATATTGAATATCTCTTGATCCAATAAACAATGTTCCGACATGCTTCTACGAGGAATGAATGCCATTTGTTCTTCAGAAATGATGTTTGAAATGCATACTTTAATTCTATTAACGATCATAGTTGCAACTATCTTATATGTGGTTTGGCATATACTTATTGGCCTATAATTGGATGGCAATATTGGGTTATTTACCTTAGGAATTAATACAATCAAAGTGTCTTTCCATTCCTTATGTGTCACTCCGGTCTTAAAGAACCCCTTAATAGTTGTCCAAGTAACTTCCTTAATAATGCTCCAATAGAAATTGAAAAAAGAAGAGGTCACACTTTCACTGCCCAGTGATTTGTTGTTTCCCTATTGAAAAACTGCATTCTTAAATTCCTCTTCAGTGAACTCAACCATGAGCATTTCCAAATCCTTGATCATTAATTTTTGATTTTCAGATATCAAAGGCCAATCAATAAGATTGCATTTTTTGGATCTCCACTTATTAATGAAAAATTTCAAGAAAACTTCTTCAATTTGTTCAAACTCCTCTAGCACATTATTGTTCTCATCTTTAATTTGCCTTACAATATTTCCATTTCTTCTTGCCGAGGAAAAATTATGAAAGAACCTAGAGTTTGTGTCTCCTTCATCATACCATCTCACCTTAGCCCTTTGGTTCCACCAAGTAAATAATCTTCTCAATGTAATATTTAACTCATGAACTTTACTTTGGAGGAGCAATAAGTTTTCTGAATTGATACATGCATCCGTGGCTTCCTCCATTTGTAGATCCAGTATTCCCTTTTTTAATTATTCTTTAAGCAAGCATAAGTCCTTACATTTATTCTTGTTCCAAAAGAAAAATGCTTTTAAAGTTCTTCTAAGCTGTCTTTACAAGGTGTCCACTTCATTGCCAAAATCAAATTTTTCCAAGAATTTACCACAATAGTCTAGGTGTCTTCAAATTTTATGCATGCTTTTTTGCTTTATTGTATTGCTTCTCTTCCAGTATGAAAACTATAGGACTATGATCAGACGCAATACTCGCAAGATGTCTAATTTTTGCTAATGGAACCAATTGCAAAGAAGCAAAATTCAACAAACACTTATCAAGCCTCTCTCATATTCTATTAGCTCCTTCCTTATTATTACGCCAAGCAAATATTGGTCCAACTATTCCAACATCATGAAGATCATTATTAATCATGAATTCCTTCATTTCTTTAGATCCCTTAGAAAAAAGGAACCTTTTACCTCCTTTTTTATCCTCCTTGTTTAAAATGCAGTTGAAATCTCCCCCACCCCCCACACGCACACACACACACACACCATGGAAGGAATGTTATTCAACATGCACTTCTCAAGCTTATTCCACAACAACCTTCTTTCATGACAATGCTTGTTACCATATATCGTTGAAATATTCCATCTCCCCATAGAATGAGTAGTAAGAATCCCAAACACAATTTGAGAAGAATGCTCAATCACATTGTATGACACCATTTTATTTTTCCACAACACCAAAATTCCACCAGCTATGTCTTCAGTTGGATGATGGAAAAAATCCCAAGTCAATCCCAATGATATTGTTAACTTCTCTTCTATCAATGTTTGATAACTTAGTCTTAATCTAGCCAATAAAAAAAAATATCATGGTCTTTAACAATTTCTTTAAGATATAAGGAGGCTTCTTTCTTTCTAGCCCCCCTACAATTCCAGAAAACAAGGGAAGACTTTTAAATAACCAAAGGGGAGACATCCCCGCCTTTTTTACTACCTCTTCCTTCTCCTCTTTTCTTCCTATTCTCTGGTTCAATAGGTCCCAAGGACCTTATATCTTTTGCCAATATATTCTTGACCAAAACATTTAGAACATCAATTTTTCCTTTCATTACTGATGGTATACCATCTGAATCAACCAGAGGTTAAGATTTTGAATGGCACTCTGTAACTTTATTATTCTTCATAATCTCCATAAGCATTTGAACATCAACTTATCCATCTTCGACTTTCTAAGCTAAGACATTGAACTTGTTTGTCGTGATATTGTCAATATTCCCATCAGCATTTGTACATATTTTCTCATCTAATACCGTCTCAGCAACTGTTGTTTCATACAATAATTCCATATCCATATTAGACTTGCTGATCTATTTTGGTACTTCATCTTCTATATTTTTGATACTATCCACTTTGTGAATAATTCTTTTAGCATTTCTCCAAGATTTACCTCCACCATTGAACCTTCCATTTCTGAATCTATTTTTTTTTTTAAATTTTACATGAATCCATGGTCCATAATCAGTTTTTCCCATTCATAATCCTTTACTTCCTTTGAAACTTGTTTTTATCGTTTGCTTCATAGGTTGGATTTTCTTTGGAATTGTAGCGTCTTCTAGACAAACTGATCTATCATGACCCACTTTGCCACAATGATAGCAAAGTAATTCAATCTTCTCGTACTCCACCTTTTGAAAGAATTTGCTTGAGGTTCCATCAACCCAAACACCATTTGGTAATTTATTTTCCAAGTTAATCCTTACACATACCCGAGCATACTCTCTTTTTCTCCATCTGAAAGAGTTTTCATCAAAATATAATGGTATTCCAATATAAGAAGCTATTCTTGCAATATTCTCCTCATCCCAACAAAATAAAGGAAAGCATGGAAACCAAATCCAAACAGGTGCTATAATA